CACACACACACACACACACACACACACACACACACACACTCCCCCCCTCCCATGTCATCACCCTACCCAGAGGCCCATTGGAGGGTGCTTGGCCCTGAGTGAGATGCACAGCACCACACACACCCACACCCACACCCACCCACACACACACACCCACACACACACACTCCCCCCCTCCCATGTCATCACCCTGCCCAAGAGGCCCATTGGAGGGTGCTTGGCCCTGAGTGAGATGCGCAGCACCCCAACCTGGGACAAGCTGCCGCTGGGTGGACCAATTGCCTGGGTGTCCACTTTGGCGGCCCACTCGCCTGCTGGGAACTCCTGGGCACAGCCTGAGTCTGGCCAGCTGGGGAGCTTAGGGCAGGTTTGGTCAATGCCCGCTGTAGGGGGGAGCTGTATGATGGTCAGGGACATCAGAGGTGGGAGGCTGGGGCCAGAGGCTGAGCAGCGGGCACCCTGGGTGGGACTGAGCTGGCTTATGCCCTCCCCTGCTCATAGCAGGCCCCCAAGTGCCAAACCCAACCCACTGGCATCGAGCAGCTTCTGACTCACAGCATCCCTCGACTGAGGTCTGGGACCGTCAGTCTTTAGGGGAGCAAATAGCTTCATTGTTCTTCCTCGGAGAAGCTGGTGGATTTGAACAGCTAACCTTGTATTTCACCCACAGTGCCGCCTGGGCTCCTTCCTGGGGGCCCCGAGGGACACAAACAGCTAGTTCGCTGGACTGCTCATCAGAAGGTCTGAGCCCACCCAGAAGTGCCTCGGAAGAAAGGCTGGGTGGTCTACTTCAGACAAGTCAGCCTGAGAACCCGCTGGGGCCTGTCTAACCTGCCAGTGTCCACTGCCCACCACCGGGGCTGACATCATGGCACACTGCTGGCAGGAGGCCTGCATGTGGGGGCTCTGGGGGAAACGGCCGTCCCTAACCCCAGCAGCTCCCAGTCAGGGGAGGGGGGCACTAGCGGGTGGTGGTCAGGGCACGTGAGCTAAGCACAGGGCCCCTCGGGCACTCGACAGGTACCTGACCTAGCGTGACATCAGGGAGGGCCTCCAGGAGGCGGCAACACTCCTCTGGCTCTGGAGAGACAGGCACCCACCTGGCGGTGAGGAAGAGGAGACCCGGCCCCTGGGCCTTCTCCCTCCTCTGTTCTCCCTGGGGCCCCCTGTGGGGGGAGGGCCGTGTGCGGGGAGAGGGTCTGTGTGGGAGGACCTATGTGCTCAAGGTGGGGGGTCCTAGGCCTGCCCGCAGGCATGTGGACAACGGGCAGCGGGGGGGCCCCCGGGCAGGTGCGCGGGCCCTACCGAGCAGTGGTGGCCAAGTCCAGGACAGCGGCTCGAGAGGCCTCTGCAGACGTGTCCTCAGGCGAGCTGGCCGGCTCCAGCTTCGTGGTGTCTTTGGTAAACTTGTTCCCTGGATGGAGACATAGGGTAAGACAGGGCAGGACACAAGCTCTCTG